GGGGCAACGGGCCTGGGCCGAGGCGGGTTGTGAGGGACTGAGGGGACACGGAGCCAGGGGTGCGGTGTTGCGAAGGATGGGGGGGGAAAGGGGTATTTGGGGACAGGGGCAGGAAGGGGGGGTCTGGGCCCTCCTGCGGGACAGGAATGGAGGTGCCATCTCCAGCCGGTCCCCGATGGTTGGCAGAGACAAAACAAGTCAACTACCCGAGAAATGGGTGTAGGAGAAGCACGTGGAAAATAGCACTTACGAGTTTCAGAAAGCCCCAAGTTCATTTTTAATAGTGTGTGGAAATAACCTATGATCATAACTGTACTTTAACAAAGGCTTTTTTGCTGGGTGAATTGTCTTTCTCCCCATTCTCTCCCCCCCCCCCAAAAATAAATATTTGTTTCAATTCTTTAAACATAGTCAAAGAAGCAGATCACTTTACTAGAAAACTGTTTAGCTTAGTGGTCAAGGCTGTCTCCCACAGAACAATTTGACTTCCTAGTCCAGGCTTCAGTTATCCAACATTTTGAGGTTAGAAGTTCAAGGTTTGTTAATTTTGAGGAATGATGTCTCTCCCCGTGTTTAGCCACGAGGGTCAAAAACGTCAAGGGAAAAAGAGGGTGTCCCAAGCGCAGTGACTCTTGCTCTCCAGGTGTATCCTTCCCAAGGAACCCTACCACAGGAGACAACTTCTTTGGCAGGTACTTGGCAGTTCAGGGGTAGGTACGACACCCCTGAGCCTTAAACCCAAGCTGTCCAACATCACCACCTCTCAAGTCTGTCTCCAGTGGCTCTCTCTAGCTTTGGAAAACCAAATGGGAGTGGAAGAAAGATAAAGGCTTGGCTCAGTGGAGGTAACACATTCAGAAAGTGAAAAAAGGTTTGTCCCTGGGGAGGAAGCTCTTCTAATCCTCCATGGATTTGCCACTGCTGAGACCTCCAGCTGCAGCAAGCAGCGCCTTCCCGAGAGGAGGAGACAGGCCCTTCTCAAACCAGCACCTGGTTTTGATGAGAGCAGTGTGGTGGTGACAGGAAGGGAAAGTGACAGTCCCAGGTCTCAGAGAAAGACTCTCCACCAAAGCAGCCCTCAGCCTAGCCAAAATATTCGGGTGCACAGATATGAG